AGCGACGATCCTCCAAACGCGGCCAACGCCTCAAGCCGTGCCTTCTCCACCCGTGTCATTCGCTTCGGTGCAGCCTGCTGCTCCTCCTCCACAACCTTGGCAGGTGCCTCAGCCTTGGCAAACACATCGTCGAGCGATGATGAGCCTCCAAACGCTGCCAGCGCCTCCAACCGCGCCTTCTCCACCCGCGTCATTCGCCGCGGCGGCGCCACCGGCTCGACCTTGACCTCCTGCTCCTGCTCCTCATCCTCCTTGTTGGCAACCACCTCGTCAAGCACTTTGGCCATCTGGGCGCCCATCTCAAACTTGGGCGTCTCCTTCTCGGCCGTCACAATCTCCTCAAACACTTCCGCCATGGCATCAGCCATAGCAAACTCGGCCTCGACCTCAGTCTCAACCTCAGCCTCGACCTCAATCTTTGCCTCGACCTCGACCTCAGCCTCCAACTCGGCTGCGACCTCAGCCTCAGCCTCGACCTCAGCCTCCTTCTGATTCTCGATCTCGCCCACCACAGCCACAGTTGCTGCCGCCGCCATCGAAGCGTTCCGCTCCTGAAGCACCGCACGCGCCTTGGCAATGACTGCTGCAGACTTCTGATACGCACCCGACGCCGCCAGCTCGCCTGAGCCGTTGGTGGCATCACCGAGAGGGACTCGGGCTGGCCCGCCGACCAGACCCAGACCGCGGACCTTGAGCCGCTGCAGACGCGCGCGCGACGATGCGATGCCGTCTCCAAACTCCATGTTGTTCCTGGTGTGTTTCTGAAGGAGGGAGAGAGAGAGAGATGTGGCCCGTGGCCGAGGCCGAGTGCAGGGCTGAACCGCTGGGTGGGGCGCCAACCACAAAATTCTTGAAATTTTTATCGCATCATGGGCTGGCTCTAGCTCCGCTCGACTGCCTCAAACGCATCAAACGCTGCCTTGGCTCCCATTGCGAGCTCGATGCCGCGCGCGAGGCCGATGTCGGGTATGTCGGCCTCGGCAGGGTTGATGCGGATGAGCGCTGCCCGCGCGCCAAAATCACGAGCGAGCTCCTCAGACTCGAGCCGGACCGTCGGCACCGCCTTGCCCGCGCCCATCTCCACAATCGCCACCGTCGCGCTCGGGTTCATCCGAAGGTGGGCCCTGACATGAGTACGGAACTGAGCGTAGCGCTCCTCCTGCGCTTCAGTTCGGTCCGCGACCCACCGCCAGTCGCCAAACATCAGCACGTTGGGCCGCGCCAGTCCGCCACACGCTCCGCACGCCGGCAGCGGCTCTGCCGCCCGAAACGTATCCTCATCGACCACAATGCTCAAGCCATCCGGAGCTGTCCAGATCGCGTCGCTGCACGGCGCCACGCACTGGAGGTGGCCCAGCGAGCCGTGGCACTCGACGATGGCCTGCGGCGGATAGCCAGCCTTGACAAAGGCGCCATCCACATTCGAGGTAAAGACAAAGCCCGGCGGCACATCGCCGCCATCATCGTCCTCGCCACCGTTGGTCACCCCGATCGGTTCCTTGGCGCTTATTAGCTCCAGCAGCCGATGGTAGCCCGAGTGCGGCTCGGCCGCGGTGTAGAGCTGGTGGCGATGCCCAAAGAAGCCCCATGCCATTGTCGGATCCTCATCAAACCACTTGGGCGTAGAGACCTCGTGAAACTCCAGCCCGCGCGCCGCAAACGGCGGATATGCCTTCCAAAACCCATCCGGTGTACGGAAGGCCGGCAGACCCGAGTCACACCCCATACCCGCGCCAGCCATGACAAACACCGCCGCCGCCCGCTTCAGCGCTCCTAGCGCCTCCTCTATACTGCTCAGCATCGCCATGATGTTTCTGTCTATGGCACCCCAAACCGCGAGCCCAACGCAAGGTTGTCGGCAGCCTGCAAGGAATGTCTGCGATGGATGCAAGGAGACCAACGGCGACAAATGTAGCGCGCATTGGCAGGAGGAGACGCCACAGCCAGAGCCGAATGGAAGACAGCGAAGCGTGATGTGCACACTGTAGAAGCCTGGCAAACCCCACAACCACAACCACAGCTACAGCCACGGCCACAACCACAATCACAACCACAACCAAAACCACAACCATAGCCAGGGCCACGGACTGAATCACAAGCTACCACAGGCCCTTGCCCAGCCTCACACCTTCCCTCACTCAGCCTCTACCTGCTTCCCCAAATCCATACCCCCCCGTGCCAAAGTGTGGCACACAACTCATTTCTCCACCACATGTTCGCCGACACCGACACCCACGCGTACATCACGCACTCTCACACACGACTCCCGCCCACCCGCAGCACACACACCACCTTTTTCTCTCATACGCAAACACACACGCACATATACACGTACACTATGTCTCCTCACGTATATGCTGCTCTTATCATTCTCCCGCTCCTCGCACAACTCGTTATAGGTGATTGCCCTGCCCCACCATGGCCGGCCTCGATCTTGGGCGCCACTTCGCCAATGGTTCCCAACGTGGAGCAACATGGCAACAAAGTGGCGAGCATGGATGTGAATGGTGATGGCTTTGAAGATCTACTATATCCCACAGCCTCACGAAGCACTTATGCAAACATTCTTACGTTGCTCCTCTCCGATGGCTCAGGTGGCTACACTGCCAGCAATCTCTACTCTCCCTCACCGCCGGCTCCCATCACCAGCTTCAACGGTGTCGCCTTTGCTCACGTCGATTACGATGGCGTGATCGACATTGTTGTCCACTCGTACGCGGACTTTGCTTTCATGTGGTACAAGGGCGTTGGCGATGGCTCCTTTACGGACCAGGGCGGCTCACCGACGCCAAACACCGGCACTCTCCTCTACTCAACCTCTCCAAGCCGGAATCACTTTAACAACTTTGTCTTTGCCGACATCGACGCCGACGGCCAAGATGACTTGGTCTACCACGACTTTGAAATGGATAAGGCCGTTGTTCTACTCAAGGACCCAGCGCCCGGTCCGCTCGGATGGACCGCCCATGTGGTCTGCACGGGCAAGGAGGCCTACTTTGTCAAGGCTGCCGATATCAACGGAGACACATATCCCGACGTCACCTGCACCTTTCACGGCAGCGTTGACATTGTTGTTCGATACTCCAACGCCGCCCCGCTCACCACTGCAAGTACCGTCGCCGTGCTCAACCACACCGAGCCCGTCCGCACCCATTTTCTCCACGATGTCGATGCTGATGGGGACATCGACCTCATTGTCGCGGGTCAGAGAACGGAGACCATCCTTTTTTACATCAACGCCGACGGGAGCGCCCTTCCCCTCACCGCCTCTTTTGCTGTCTACTCTAGCAGTCGTATCACTGACCAGATTATCCTCTTGGATGTAGACAACAATGGCTTGGACGACTTTGTTCTAGGGAGCTACTCCAACTTGCCTTCGATCGTACCCAAGCTGTCCACTCTCGCCGACCCATCGTCGTACGGTGCTCCTTCCAAAGGGCCTTCATCTGGCGGTCGAGGCGTGGCGCCGCTTGCGCGTGGACCCTACGGCTATCCGGCCATTGCTACCATAGGCGATCGGGTTCCCAACGCCAATCTGTATCCAATCCTTCCCGTCCCACGCGACTGGTCGCTCTCTTCACTTGTTGCCGCCAACCACCTCGATGTTGTCACCGGTGACGTCAACGCAGACGCCCACCTCGACCTCATTGCAACTTCAGCTTCCTCAGTTTCTGTGTACCTCAACTCTGGCATCGGCACGTTTTCGCCTTCATCGTCGCTCACCGTCGAGCTCTCTTTTGCCCCCGCCGCTGTTCGGCTGGCTGATCTCGACGGTGACGCTGCTCTTGACCTCATTCTCCAAGATGGAGCAAGTGCGCTTGTCTGGTGCCGTAACACCGGTGGGAGCGCCCTCGCCTCGTTTGTGGAGCCGCTCACCTTGCTCGCGCCGCCGCCGTCGGTGGGTCCTGCTCTTGTGACAGTCATCCCGACCTCGCTCAACGCTGACGATGACGTCGATCTTCTCATCGTCGGCTCGACCGGCATCGCCATCGTCCTCAACAACGGCGCCGGCTCCTCGGCCTCGTTTGCGCCACCGCTTGACCTTGCCACGGGCCTCGCCACCGTCACCGCCGCCGCCATCGCCGACCTCACCTCCGACGCCAGGCAAGACATCGTGTACGCCGTCGCTGCGGGTACCATCTCCATGATTGCAGCGGACACCGCGCCGGGTACCTTTGTGGCTCCTGTGGTCCTCACCACCGCATCATCCACCCCGGTCGGGCACCTTCATCTCGCTGACGTCGACGGTTCCACCGCCCTTGATCTGGTCTGGTCGTCGCCGTCGGCGCCTGGCTTTGCCTTTGCAGTCAACAACGGTGTTGGTGGCTTTGGTGGCGGCCCGGTCGTCGTTGCTGGCCTCGACTCTGCCAACACGGAAGCACTGGCCGTCGTCCGCGACATGGAGTTTAACGGCCGCGCCCACGTCGCCTACGGCGCCGTATCCTCCGGCTCGGTCGCATGGGCCATGTCGACGCGGACCGCAACTCGCTTTCCGCTCCATGCCCATCTCAACCTCACCACCGAATCGTCCCGCTTCCAGCTTGTGGGCCTCTCGGCCTTGGCCGCCGACGACATCGACGGCAATGGCGCCGTCGACCTCGTTGTTGCCACACCGTCGGGCGTCCACTTGCTGCATGCGGGCTCGCTGGTGGTCGGCAACACTCAGCGCGCCACAAGCGCTGTCCGCTACGATCATCCCGAGTGCGGTGGCGTCAGTTCGTCTATGGCCTGCGTTGGCGCCGCCCTGGCTAGAATCCGGTCGTGCACTCCTCGCATCAACCTGCCGCCTCGCATTGTCCGCTGCTCGCGGACGGGCCCAGCACTTGCGCTTCACCACAACACTGTTCTGGGCGGAGAGGGCGGGAGACAAGTTGTGGTCGACTGCTCTTTGCTCGGCGGAACCTTTCTCCGCATCCCGGCCGGGAGCAGCATAACGCTCGACCACATCTCGGTCGTCGGCGCCTCATCGTCGACGTCGCCTCTCGGCTCCGCGCCGCTCCTGGTTGACTCTGCGTCGCTCACCCTCACTCACTGCACCTTTTCCCGCTGTTCATCGGCAGCAGCGACGGTTTTTCAGGTCAATGCCGGCATCGGCGGCGCAGTGAGCGTCGTTGGCGGTAATGCCCAGCTCACCGTCACCAACACCACCTTTACCGCCAACACCGCAGGCACCGCAGGTGGCGCTATCGGCGTCACCGGCTCGGATCACACCATTACCCTGGTAGACTCACGGTTCGAGAGCAACACTGCGCTCGCCGCATCCCTCAGTGTCGGCGGCGGCGGTGCAATTGGTCTCGTCGGCGCCTCCACGCCCACCCTCTTCTGGACTGGCGGCTCGGTGAGCTCGTGTGTTGCCTCCAGCGGTCATGGTGGCGCGCTCTTTGTCTCGGCCTCGTCGCTGACCGCCGCCATCACGCACGTTGCCTTTGTCGGCAACTCGGCCCCGCTCGGTGCAGGTGGAACCGTCGCCCTCGAGGGCGGTAACACCGTTGTCCTCGACGTGGCAGGCAATCGCACCGTTGTCGATGCGAGCTTTGCCGGCTTTGGCGGCGCTCTTGCCGTCGCAGCTTCGGGCTACCTGCCAACCTCGGTGGTTTCGACAGCGCTCCGGCGCGCGCCTGGTGGTCTGATTGGCCCGATAGTAACGGTGCGCGCTGGCGCCTCGCTCGGTTCGTCGTCGGCCGTCTACGGAGGAGCCACATTTGCCTGCGCCGGTCTCATCGACCTCTCTGCTGCCAACTACACTGGCGCCTCATTGGCGACCGTGGCCGGCGGAGAGGTTTTCGTGTGCAACGGCCACTCGCCGTCGTGGTTGGCGCTTCCAGCACTGCACAGCCATACGTCGTCGGTCGGTGCCGCAGGCTATGGCTCAGGGTGGGCCTCGCCACCGGCTGTACTTTCGGTGACAGCTACGCCGCCGCAGGTCATTTCGGGCATTGTTCTCGGTGCTGGCCATGTGACGGCCGTCGACGAGATGGGGACCACAGTGGTCGACTCGCGCATCGCGCTTGTGCCACAATCGTCCAACCCAGACATTGTCATCGAGGGCCTGGTCTTTGGCATTCCGTTCGACACCTACTCGGGCACCTTTCCGCTCAACGAGCTCTCAGCTCGCGGCCGCGGTGCAGCGCTCGACACCCCCGTCGGCATCGACATCGGCGCTCGCGACAGTGTAGACGCCGTGGTCACCACCTCGTTTACCGTCACATTCACCGCGTGTCCAGCAGGCTTTGGGAGGAGCTCGTCAGAGGATGCGCCTCTGCTCTGTGCACCATGCGCAACGGGCCTCTACTCCAACAGCACCTCGTCCCAGCCGTGCATGCCCGAGCCCAACTGCGGCGATGGCCTTTTCCACAACGGCGCGTGCGTCTACTGCCCGGCCAACACGCTGCGGTTCCTCACCAACACATCAGCCATCGGCGAGTGCATGTGCCGCGCCGGGTACTACGCCCCGGCGCGGGTCTCCAACACCCCGTGTCTAGCATGCCCGGCTGGCGCCGTCTGTGACGGCCAGCTGGCCTCCCCGCTCGCGCTTCCGGGCTGGGGGCGTATGAGCGAGTATGGGTTTGCAGAGTGCCCCATCGACGGTGCTTGTCTCGGCGAACGAGTGACTCCGAGCTGCGCACCCGAGTACGCCTCCGACTCGCTTCTTTGTAAGTCTTGCGCGGTCGACCACTACCGGCTCACCGACTCGCAGTGTGACAAGTGCCCCAACTCGGCTGTCTCGCTCTTTTCTCTCTTTGTTGCTCTCATCGTCGTTGTTGCTGCTGCCTCGTTCCTCGTCGTTGTCGTCACCGCCAAGCACTACGCGCAGGCCGACTCGCTCAGCACCGAAGCGAATGGTGTCGGTCGCGAGCAAAGGCGCATCTCGCAGGCGGTCCGGACCAGGCTCGTCCCGCACTCGCTCTCGGTCGCGACCGTGTACCTGCAGATCCTGGGCATCCTCGCCACGCTCCCGTTCAACTGGCCGGAGCCGCCAGTCATCCAGCTGCTGCAGACCGCCAACGTCGCCAACATCGACCTCTCACTATTTGCCACCGACTGCACCGTGCGGGCTTTCCCGATGCGCTACGCACTCTCCATTATTGTCCCACTTGTCTTTTTCGCCCTCACTGGCATCTTTATTGCCGTTGTCAAGCTCGCGCCGGCCACCCTGCCCTGCATCGCCCAGCTCGGCCATGTTTCTGGTTGGGCTGTTGCCGGCCGGCTGCTCTTCACCTTTGGGCCGCTCCTTTACATCCCTCTCTGCCGGGCGACGCTGATCTTCTTTGACTGCACCAAGCTGCCCGATGGCAAGTACTACCTCGACGCCAACCTCGACGAGGCGTGCTACGACGCAACGTGGTTCATCCTGCTCCCGCTCGCCGCTGGTGCCGTCATTGTGTACGTCGTCGCCATGCCGGCCTTTTTCACCTACGTGCTGTGGTACAACCGTGCAACCCTAGCGTCGCCGCGAACGCTCATGCGCTACGGACCCATTTACATGTCGTATCGCACTTCATACTTTTGGTACGAAGTTGCGCTACTTATCAAGCGCCTTGCTATCGTCGCCACCGCGCTGTTCTTCTCCAAGCTCGAGGTGTGGCTCTTCAGTCTCCTCTGCGCCATCTTCCTCATCTCTGGCGCCTTTCAGCTCCGGCACGAGCCGTTCTTCTTTCCGCTACACAATCAGCTCGAGACGCGACTCGACGCTGCCGTCATCATCCTCCTTGGCTGCGGCATGCTTTTCTGGGCCGACAAGTTCCCCAACAGTGGGACGTATGCTGTGGCGGCTGCCATCGCCGCCACCGTCATTGTCGTCTCGGTGCTCATTCTGATCTTTGCGATCCTGCGCGAGCTCCAGTTTGCCGTGTGGAAGCGCCGCCGGGCGCGCCGGGCAACGGCCCCGTCCGAGCTCGCGCCCAGTGCTCCTCTCTCACACGACGAGCTCTCCACCCGGGACGCCATCTTTGTTTCGATCGTCGACCGCCACATCGACGACCTCGAGCATCCTGCCCTCTACACGCCGCTCATCGCCATGCGCACCTCGCTCGATGGTAGCAGCGCCAAGCTCGGCGACTCTTTGAACTCACAAGATGCTGTCGAGATGACCATTGCTGAGGCCATCGGTCGCAGCTCGGACGAGAGCGAGGCTGCCTCGGAGCCGAGTGACTCGTTGGTCTCGACTGTGAAGCAGGCGGTGAGCACAAGCTCCAGTGACGAGTCGAGCCCGCTCTCGTCGGCGGCGCTCTCGTCGCGTTCAACGCGATCGCGTTCCATCGTCACCTCGTACGGCCGTCGGCCGGCCTCCAAAGCGCGGCAGCCGCTGGCATCCCCCGCATCCCGCACTGGCACGGCATCATCGCGAGCGAGTCGCGCCCGGTCAAGTGCCAGCCGCGCGCCGCAAACATAACCCTCAGCAGCCATGTACACGCGGATCGCCGTGCCGATTGGCGCCATGTGCTAGTACCAAGGGCCAGAGCAGGAAATGCGAGGAAATCTCAAGCCGTCGAGCCAGCAGAGCGACTGCTTGATCGGCGACCGAGAGTGTAGCGTTACTCGCTTGCACGTCTTACTTAGCCCTGTCCATCGCGCAAGCCGCGCTCCGCGACGCTCCACAGACGTCGTAACGTCCATGGATTGTTGTAACAGAGTAGTACAATGTGTAACTCGCTGCCACAGCAGAAAACAGTCGGAGATGCAGTGATGGACGCCGCACGCAGCGCAAAAGGTCCGCGGTCGCGATCGCTTACCATGAAGCTTCCGGCAGTCAAGGCAGTCGCGTCGCAGAGCGGTTTGCTGGAAAAAATGGTGATGACGAGCAGCCGCTGCAGAGGTGCGCTTCCGCTTGCGCGACGGCGCGGAGCTGACGGCGTCTGCGCTGGCGGCGAGAGCGTCGATGATGTCATGGAGAAAAGCCACACGAGCCATGGCGGGGCGTGGGCTCGCGTCAGCGCAGAGCGCGTACGCGTTGATGGGCGCGGTGTCCAGATTCCAGTTCAAGATGGCGTGTCACCACTTGCGCGGCTACGCCGACAGGTAAGCTCGTCCGTCGCAAGACGTCCTCCCGCTCTCCCGTCCGGCCGCTTTGTTCAACTCTGTCATGCTCGACTTCCCGATCGTCGGGCGGGTATCTACGTGTCGGCCGCAGGCCAAGCAGGCGTCGCGCAGCTTTGGCCGGTGACCGGGACATCAAAGCATCATCGAGTTGTTCACTTTGAGACGCGCGACAACGCGTCCGAACGACCGTGCCGTTAAGGGTTAGGTTCCGGAATAGTTTACGTCAGCGCCAGCCGCATCATAAGCGGCTCGCGTCCCTCAAAGGCAAACCGCACGTCGCGCCATGCCAGACGCCTGTTGCAGCCAAAGCTCTCCAGGAGCGAGCCCGCCTCCTGGGCGGCGTCGACCGAGTGCTCCATAGCGTCAGCAATTCGGCGCGAGACAACCACAACCCGGGCGCGGATTTCAGTCGGCGCTGCGTCGCCCAACCAGAGCCAAAGTGCCGTCGCCGTCGAGACCATATACGCCTTGTCCGACGCCAGCATGCTCAGGTGGAACTTGCCTTGCGAGACGTCCTCCAGCACGAGATCGCCGTTGTTGCCAAACAAGACTAGCTCCTTGATGCTCAGCACGCCGCGCATGTCGCGTGCGAGCGCGTCAGCGTCGACAGGCGCAAGCACGTCGGCGATGTGAGTTGCCAGGCTTGAGCGCCAGTCGTCAGATGCGTCCGCCGCCGCCAGGATTTGCCACAGCCGATCGTACGGTGGCTGGGTGCAGAACGGCTCGACCGCGTCCGACGTTACAAACTTGAGCTGCGGCGGTGCGAGGAAGTACGGCCGCGACCGCACTCCGCTAAAGTCCTCGTCGAGGCAAAGCTCGCGCGCCAGGGCTGCTGCCTGCGCATACAGCGTCCGCGACACCTCTGGGCCAACCCATACAAATACAACTCCCGAAACCACCACCAGCGAGACCGCGTTTGCAGCCAGAATTCTCAGCGCCACAGGCTCACGAGAGAGGTACAACCCAAGCTCGGCATGCTCCACGATCCGGAACGCCCGCGACTCGGCGAGCAGCTGCGTAGCATCGACCTTGGCCGCTGCCACCGACAACCGCGCCGAGTCGGTTTTCCGTACGTCGTTCCAGAACCACTCCAGGATGGAAAGGCCGTCGCTATCGCTGTGTTCGGCGTTGAATGCTGCTGTCTTGGCTCGGATCGACGCCAGCGAGACCATCCGGTGGTAGGAGGTCTTGTTGGAAATGGTAAACACGATACTGGTCCCTTCCGTGGCGACATACAGGCGGTCAGCCGGCTCGTCAAGCCGGTGCATGCGCTTGGCGTAGAGTCGGAGAGACGTCGCCTCAGCTATGTCTTCCAGCGTGTCACCATTGACCTTGCCCTTGCCCTTGCCCTTGCCCTTGCCTTTGATCTTGCCCTTGCCCTTGCCCTTGTCCTTGCCCTTGGCGGCCGATGGCGTCGCCGACCGTAGTGCGAGTACAACCACCGACGGCCGACGGCCGCTGGAATTGAGCACCAACTGCAGCGAGCTGGAGTGTTCGAGAGCAAACAGGCGAAGCGAGGTTATGCTGCCAAGCTTGATCGCGACTCGGACAAGCGAGGTGCCCGTCACGGCGTCCCACACAGCCACCGACTGATCAGCACCACCTGTGGCGACAAGCACCCGCTTCACCACTTGGAAGATGTCGATCGAGGTCACCATGCCAAAGTGGACGTCGCTGAGCTCCGAGACAAGCACATGACGCTTGGCCGAGAACATCGAGACCGTAGCGTTGTACGGTGCTGTTCCGCGCGCAGCCACGTACCCGTGCTTGCATACCAAGACGGCGCCTGACACGTCGCGCAAGTGCGAGACGGCCTTGATGCTGAGGTTGGAACGAGTGGCGCCAGGTTGGACCGAGTACCCGACGACTGCATCGGGCGACTCATAGCCAAGGTACATGATGCCGCGGTTGCTTAGCGCAGCAGTCGAGATCTCGGCCGCAAACGGGACCTTGCCGCGCGAGAGGCGCTGCGAACCACTGCGAGAGACGTGCCAGCTGCACACGCTGCCGCCCCGATCGACGCTCATTAGCATGGCGCCATCGGCCACCTTCTCCTTACTCCACATCAGCGCCACAACCGCTGCGTCGTGGCCGAGCAGGATATCAAGCACTGCTCCCGACTGGGTGTCACACACGTTGATGGTACGATCGCCCGAGCCGGTAATGACCAGATTCATCTCGCCGTGGGCAGTCAGGGCCGTAATCTCTGATCGGTGTGCGAGGCCGCGCGACGAGGCCGACGCTGCCCGTCCCGATGCCCCGAGCTGGGTGAGGACGTTGGCGACGTTCCACACACACACGAGCCCGTCGGCGTCACCACTCACCAGTAGTTCGGCGTTCTGGTACGTGACCGCGGTCATGCTCGTCACCGAGGACGGTGAGTGGAGATCGAGCGCACCGAGCATACGGCCCGAAATCGCCGAAACCACCACCAGCTCGCCGTTTGCCCGCCCGACCACCACATTCATCGACTCGGGAATAGCATAGAGCGATGATACGTCAGTGATAGGTACAGAGGCCGTCGGTGCGCACGCGTCGAGTCGCGCCGTCCCTTGTCGGTCCACCTCGACGCTTGTCGCGTGCTTGGCAAGCATCGACGCGCCGTGTGCCCGATGGAGCTCCGACTCCGACCAAATGTAGATGCCAAAGTCGGTGGCGACCACCAGCACGAGGTGTGAGACAGCCACCGCAGTGACCGCGGTTTGGCGGCCATTGTCCTCGTCGGAGAGCGGAACCGCGGCGTGGAAGAGGATCAAGTTGGACGAAAAGTCGACCACGGTGATCACGCCCGTGCTCGTCGAAATGGCGGCGAGCGGCGCGGCTGCCGCCGTGACCAGCCTGTCGTACTCGATGGCGTTGTCCAGTAAGACAGGGCTGGCGCCGACGTCGGCGCCGTCGACAAGCGATTGCGGCACGACAGCCGGTGCCGGCTCGTTGGTGAGGACGACCAGATGCGGGACGCTGCCGATCATAATGATCGCGGCGCCGACGGCCTCGGTCTGCTCTGCACGCATAAAAGAAGCGTGGTCGTCAAACGGTTCGTCGACCGACGGCGTTTGGCAAAGGGTGTAAATGCGGGCGGCTAACGGGGTGACCACCGCAAAGTACTCGCCGGCCGAAGCGATGAGAACTCGCGTGGACCAAGAGGTCGCTGCCGACGCTGCAGACTTCAGTCCGCCCCCATTGTCAGTCTCGTGAGAGTGCGACGAGCCGTCCGAGTCGATAGGAGCAAACGGGTTGCTTGTCGATGATGGAAAGGGCGAGACAAGCGGTGAGCTGGCAGACGAGCCGCATCCGTTGTCGTCGAGGAACGAGGTCGGGACAAACCGATCGACGGCATGCTCGGCCCATGTGCCGGCGACCACGTCCCACACGCACATGCACGACTCGCAGAGCGAGACGGCGTACGAGTTGCCCACCGCAACCATGGCCACAATGCGGTGCGGATGGCTGCGGATTGCAGCCCGGAGGCCGCCGCCGTGGGCGACAAGCAAGCCCGAGCGCGGAACGTACATCATCTCGGCGCGGGACTTGTGCTCAAGTGCGTCATTGATAAACTTCATGACAACTGGCGAGACGTCGTCGGGCGAAGGAACCGGCCACATGCGGCCAAGCAGCTGAAAGTAAACCATACTCGGGAGCGACTTGAGCGAGCCGCGCGAAAGGTTGAGCAGCTCACGGAGCTTGGTAAGGTCAGCAAGGTCGCTTGTCGCAGCCAGCCGTTTGCTCAGCTCTTGGGTCGCCGCACCACGATCGGCCTCGGCGAGCCACGGAAGGAGCGAGGCATCTACGGGAGTACCAGATTCTGAGCCAGAGGAGCTCGACATGTGGATGGCGGCAATGGCTGGGTCACTCAACGCCTTGATAACCTGCGAGAGGTCGTCAAGGTACTGCGCGATGGGATCCGAGCCTGCACAGAACCAAGGGTCGTCGTCGCGCTCGGCACGGGTCACGTCGCGGTACCAGTAGTACGAGACAACGAGGTTGACAGCGGCGGTGATCTGGCCCGCGGCAAGCAGGTGCCGCACCAGGTTCTGTCGGTAGTACGCGTCGGTGGCGACAGGCCCGGTCCGCCACTCGGCAAACGAGAGGACGTTGGCCGAGAACGGGTCAGCCAGCGTCGCCGTGTACGCGCGCAGGATCCGAGTGTGGCCGGCGACCTCGGCCTGCTGCGACGTCGCCTCGCGCCAGGCCAGGAGGTCAGCTGCCGGTGGCGTGAGCATCCACGCCACGGTGTTCGGGTCTATGGCCGAAGGGTACGCCAGGTGGAAAATACCCTTGTCGGCGAGCATGCGGAGAATGAGCTCGACGTCGACAGGGTAGAGCGGCTCATCGGCCGAACGCCACAGGACAACTAGCGGCGCAACGGGCAAGAGCTTACCGGCGGGGAAGACAGCAAGTTCTCGGAAGCGGTAGCGGATGGCGTGGAGCGAGCGGACTGCGAGTGCGACAGCAGCACGCTGTGGCGTCATGCCCTCGCGCACAGCCTCAGTGACAAAGTCCGAGGCAAAAGTCCAGACTGCATCACACTGTCGGGCCACGACGTCGCCGATTCGGCAAAGCGCGTCGGCGTTGAGTGCGACCTTGGTCATGATGGTGGTGGTAACGTCGGGAAGCGTGGAGGCGGAGAGGCCCGAGTGAATGGCAAACAGCGCACGAGCCTCGCTGGTCCCGAGCTCCGGAATGACAATCGATGTGAGTTCTGGCAGGCTCGAACCGACCAGCTTGTCGACCACGTCGGGTGTGGTGGTAGCGAGGTACCTCGAGTCCGGCGCGTCGACAAGGACATGGCAGAGAGCAAGTTGCGATGCTGAGACCAGACCGTCGAGAACAAGGAGAAGGGCTTTGTCGGCAAGCCGGGACGAGATGGCGTCACGTGCGGCACGCAGCGACTGAAGCTGCTCGGCTCGCAGCTTGATGTTAAGCTCAAGCGCGAGCGAGTTGACGAGATCACTGAGTGACGAGAGCGAAGAGAGGCTGAGCCAGTGAATGCCATCGCGAAACTTTGCGCCAACCTCCGGCTCATGGGCAATGGTGGAGGCAAGCCAGGTCTTGCCCGAGCCCGGGCCGCCGATAGCGACGACACCGTGGGAGGAGTAGCGTGCGTGCGAAGAGTCAGACGAGACTAGCAAGCGGTCTCTGCTGGTAGACTTGTTGGTGGCCACGACGACATCGCGGTCCGCGGAGTTCCTTAAGAGGCGCTTCTTCTTCGTGGTCTTGGATGGAGCCTTGCTCATGATGTTGGGCGAATCGCATGCCGAAGACGGAGCTGAACCCCTTGCTGTCAGGCTGCGGACGACCGAGCGAACAAGCCGTGGCCGCTCCACAACATCAGCGTTGGGAAGCAGCGGAGGGACCGATGGAAAGACCTCGCCAGTGGTGGCAAGATGGGTGATGAGCGAGTCAAACGAGCTGGCGAGCTCAGCAAACGACGGGCGTGAGTCCGGTTGGTGTTGGATGCACTTGATGATGATCGGGAGCGTGAGTCGAAAGAGGCGCGAGTCGTAGACTTCGGGCAACGAGTCATCAATCTCGTCAGCCTCGGCAGCAGCGAGGACGGCTGGGGGCAGGAGCGACGCGTAGCAGTTCTTGATGCGCGAGATCTTGGGGAAAGCTCGCAGCTGGGTGACGGTCTCGTAGAGGAGGATGCCAAAGGAGAAGACGTCCGAAGCTTGGCACGGGGCGTCGCCCATGATGACTTCGGGCGCCGAGTACCGCGGTGTGCCCGCAAAGCCGCGGACCGAGCCGGAAGCAAGCGTGAGAGCGAGGCCAAAGTCGGCAACCTTGACCACCGATCCCGCCCGCGAGAGCAGGATGTTGCGCGGCTTGAGATCACAATGCAGGATGCCGCAGCGATGCAGGTACTCCATGCCACAGCAGACGCCATGGAGAATGTGGAGCTTGGAACGGTCAGAGAGGTGACCCGGGACGATACCGGTCGATCCCTCCGAGTTTGACCACGAGTTGTTCGACGATGAGCCGTGCGACGAGTTGTTCGTGCCAGACGACTGTGAGGTGCCACACGAGGACGACTTGGTTGACGAGTGGGTACTTGCCGAAGGCGCACCTGAGGAGGGAGTATTTGACGACGAAGAGCTTGACGAAGACGTCGGGTTCTTCCCCCTAGCCTCCTTGCGCGCTTTGCGAAGATCAGCCTTCTTGAGCGGAAAGAGAGCTTCAAAAAGATCTCCCGACTCCATGAGCTCGGTGACAATGGCCGGATTTGCGGTGTCTGTGCAGATGGCCAGCATTTGCACAATGTTGGGATGTGAGAGTGAGGCAAGGACGGAGGCTTCAGCAACAAGGTCGTTGAGCTGGGAGAGGATACCATCGCCCTTCAGCGTCAGCCGCTTGATGGCGACCGAAGTGGCGCCCCAAGTCCCGCCCCATACCTCGCCAAAGCCGCCTGAGCCGAGCTGGTAAGAGATGGTGAGGTCTGCCCAAGCGACTGCCTCGAGCGGCGTCTTGCCGCCGGCGGAGCGAATAGTCTCGGCAAACGAGGATGTTGTCGACTTGGTTGACGGCGAGATGGCCGTCGACGAGATGTTGGACCACGCTGATGCGCCCAACATTGACTGTGCGCGCGACTGGTATGACGAGGTAGGCACCCGGCCCGAGACCGAAATGCCAATGTTGAGTGCGTGGGTGATCGACGAGTCGGTCGAAGCGATCGAGAGGTCGGGCGCGACCGGTGCTGTGACAGCCTTGAGCGAGTTCTCCGCAGACACGTCATCGATCTCAGTCAGGCGTTGCGAGAAGGAGATCGAGATCGACGCGTCGTCATCGTCCGAGTCTTGCGACTCGGTCCCCGACCTGGATACCGAGCTCGATGGCTTGGACGCCACGCCAGATGCAACACTGCTAATCAACGAGGCCGAGACCATCAGCTGTGGCACCGATTCGTATTCATAGTCAACAGAGTCGGCATCGCCACAAGTGACGCTGTCGGTGCTGCAGCCAGAAGCTTGCCGGGAGGCGGGGTCGAGATGTGATGAGGATGATGACGACGACTCTGCGCTCAACGATAGCGACGAGTCTGAGGACGTCGACGTTGCCGAAGCGTCATTGTCCGAGAGCGCCTTGTGATAATCTGAGGCGCCAAGGTTGGCCAGGCCGTCCAGGTCGACCGAGACAGAGAGGCCCATCGAGTTGGACGACGTACTGCCAGCAACGCACGATGTCTCAGCCGAACGGTTCAGGACGAACCTGTCTGCGGCAGGGGTGACAGGCGCGTCTGGCGCCGGAGTGTCTGCAAACTCTGTGTATGCACCAGAGGCAGCATCCTGCTCAACATCAACGAACAGAGGTTCGTCGGAGCAGCTGGGGTTGGCCATGGCCTGTGCAGGTGGTGGCCTCGACGAGTCCATAATTAAGACAATAAGACCGTCAGGTCAGGTCAGGATACCGAGGAATGTCTTTGCGCAAGGCACTCGGGAGGACGGGGAGCTGTAAATACAAACGAGGAGAAGAAAGGCAACGCAGGGAGAAGGGGGAGGATGGGGAGGGGGCAGAGGCCCACGCGTCGAAAGGGGACAGAGGAAGAGGGGTATGGAAGGTATGGGGTAAAGTTTGCGTCGGTGGTGCGGGTGAACAGAGTTTGATAACAGCTTCAGCGGACAATGTTAAGTTTGTGTCAATTTGAACACGGTTGCGGCGTGGCATTGATTTGCCTCGGTGACACCGCGAGTCGCCGTGGAGCTGCGACATCACCACGCAGGGAAGAGGATGGCGGTGGTAGAAGTTGTGGATGAGCCGGGTGTTTTGAGCAGATAGAGAGCGCAGATAGTGTGGAAGGTTCTATTTTAACCATACACCCGAGCTGACGTGCGGGTGTATACTTGTAAGGACAGGAACGCTCACTGTATCACATGCCAATTAGCACCGTTGGCAGACACGAGTGGCAGATAGCGGGGGAGGCCGGACGGGGGGCGGGGACGGGGGGGGCTGAGGCTCGATTTACAGCGGTCACCGCCAGCGACGGTCAACACTTACTTGGCGTCGACCATCTTAGCCTCGGGCGAGGCTCCCTTGAACTCGGAGATGAACTTGTCGAGCGAAGGCGAGACATGGGGCCAGACCTCGTCCTCGCCCTTGCCGTTGATGGTGGCGTACTCGATGTCGTTGCAGAAGCAGAGGAAGATGGTCGAGATGGCGATGGAGAAGAGCGAGAGGAAGGCAGTGGCGACGGCGTAAGCGATGAGGGCGGCGAGGATGACCGGGATGGCCCAGTAGTTGAGCTCGTCGTCAGAGCGGAAAATGAGAACGGCGACGATGACGACCGAGACGGTGATGAAGAGCTTGCCGAGGAAGAGAAGGAACTCGGCGACGCCCGAGACGGCGATGAGGAGGACGGCATTCGAGGTGAGGAGGTGGTAGGCGCGCTTGCAGGCGCCGCAGAAGCCGATGCCGATCATGGCGGTCACAATGTACGCGTTGCGGTTGATGAACTCGAGGAAGCGCTGGACGTAGGCAAAGCAGCAGCCGAGGCACTTGAGCAGCTTGTCGACAAAGTCGTTGCCCTTGTACTTTTCGAGGTTGCGCTGGATGAACCAGATGACGGCGCGGATCATCATGACGACAGCAATGATGAACGAGCCAAAGGCGACAGTGCCCAGGTGGTACCACATGACGGTGCCCCACGAGCGCCAGACGGTGCACGAACCGACGCCCTGGGCCTTGCCACCCGAGCCGGCCTTCTTGCCCTTGGGCGCATAGTACCAGCGGACAAAGGTGCGGGCAAAGGTCATCTCGGTGGCGGCGAGGACAAAGGCGACGAGCCAGAAAATGCCAAAGACAAAGTAGACCTGCATGCCCTGGAGTGTGCGGTCCGACTTGGTGCCCTTCCAGTTGCCGTCCGAGTCGTTGACGTCGTCGGCGACGGTGCCGAGGATGAGCCAGAAGGCGATGCCGTAGATGAGGACGGCAATGAGGAAGAAGAGCGTGACGAGCGGGAAGAGGATGATAAGCTTCATCTCGCCCACAGCCTTGGCAGCCTCCTTGATGAGGCGGACAGCGACCTTGATGCGGTTAAAGAAGAAGCAGATGAGGACGAGGATGACCATGGTGATGATGCCGGCAATGACCGCAAGCACCATCAGCGTCGTCTTCTGCGCCTTCTCCGAGTTGGTCACGTCCTGCCCGCGGCCCTGCGCCTCGAGCTTCTGCTGCTCGTCGCGGTCCTCCTTGTACTCGAGGCCGAGGAAAATGGTGACGCCGAGCGAGGCGAGGAAGATGAGCACAATCGTCGTCCACACAAAGAAGCCGGCAAAGTGGGTGAGCATGATGAGCCACACAAAGCCGAGCACAAGCGCCACGCCCGCAAGCAGGAACAGCCAGTACTTGGTCTGGTTCACGTCACCGAGAATCTTGGTCGTCTGGTCGCGCAGGTTGTCAATGTTCGACGAGTCGGCAGACGTCGTCGAGTTCGAGTTGGGCGAGACAAAGAACTCCGAGCCGGTCGGGATGCACCGGTTGATGATCTCACGCGTGTTGAACCACCAGTAGCACTTGCCGTCCGTGTTGAACGTCACAATGTGACTCGGGTTCGACGGTCCGCCGGCATACACCGGCGACCCGTCACGCTGGTACGGGCAGAGCAGCCGCGAGTAGTCCGGGTTCGAAAAGTCGACGTTCGGGCACGGCGAGTCCTTGGTGCACGGGCACCGCTCCGCGCAGTACGAGACCGACAGCCGCACCGGGTTGGGGAAGATGAGCACCCCACGCGAGGTGTGGTCGAGCGTGTTGCGCCCGTCGCCGTTGTTCTTCACGCCGCACAGGTTGCCGTACATGTCACGCCCGCGAATGAGCCGGTTGATGTCACCCTTGCGCACAGCAACAATCGACACCACCACCATTCCCACGAGGAAGCAAATGAACAGGAGGAGGAAGAAGCAATCCGTGTGCCGTGGCGTGTACTTGGGACCACCGTACACTGCATGCAACGGAAGATGGTGAGTTGAGGGGAGGGGGGGGGGAGGGCGGTGGAGTTGGCGTAGCTGATTGGCTAGCTGGCTGGCTGGCTAGCTGGCTGGCTGGTGGTTGAACCACCAGGAGGGGGGCGGAACGGTGGGAAAGGCGTTTTGGCCCATTGCGGGCAAAAAAACGCTCTGCGACGAACAACGCCACCGGCGGGGGCGGGGAGAGGGCGGGGGGGGGGGGGGGGGGGGATGGGGCGGGCGAGAGGCTGAAGCAAGCAGGGAAAGGGATGGGAGAAAAGAGAAAAGGAATAGGGGCGTGGTGACGGTGTAGTAGAGATAGTGTGGGTAGGTGGGGGGTGACAAAAGGTGTGCTACCGTGGGTAGGGACTGTGGCAATGAGGGAGGGGGGGGAGGGGCTAGTGCCGCAGGCAGCCCACGCTGAAGGAACGAAGTCCGACGTACCCTTGCCGGACGAGTTCTTCTTGGAGCTGCGGCGGCCGCCGGAGCCCTTTCCGCCCTTGGACGAGCTACCCTTGCCCTTGGAGCCCTTGGAGCCTTTGGAGTCCCTGGAGCCCTTGGAGCCCCTCGAGCCCTTGGACGACTTCTTGGCCATGGTTCGACAGGGGTGCAGTGTGACAAGCAGCCGCCGTCCGGTTGGTGGCTGGAATGGGAAGCGAATGGACAAGGCGGCAGAGGAAAAGCAACGAACGAACAAATGAACAAACGAATCAATCGATAAAGAAATGAACCAATGCATGAATCGATATGAAAACAATCGAGGTAGAATTGGGTTGATTCACGGAATGCGGTTGTTTGTTGCGCAAGGGAGAGGGGGAAACGAGGAAGAGCCGGGCTGGCGGGGGGGGGCTTTTGTTGTTTTTATCTCGCTGGCCTCGGCCTCTGGTCCGGCCTAGCTGGTCGGAGAGACCACCATTAGGCGCGGAGCCAGTAGTTCCACGACTGAAGACGGGCGTAGTCGGGCATGCCGTCAAGCGAGCCGACGGCGGCAATGGTGGGCGACTTGTTGTACAGGTACTCGTTGGCGACCCGCTTGATGGTGTCGGCGTCGACGGCGTCGATACGGGCAAAGACCTCGGCCGGGGTGAGGCGGCGGCGGTAGGTCAGCATCTGGCGGCCAATGTCCTCGGCGACGGCGGCGGTGCCGTCAAGCTGCATGAGGATGTTGGTCTTGAGCTGGTTGCGGGCACGCTCGACCTCGCGGTCGCCGACCGAGAACGAGAGGCGGACCCACTCCTGCTCGATGACGTAGATGAGGTCGTCAAGGTTGGACGGCTCGGTGACAGCGTGGACGCCCCAGAGCGCAGTGTCCGAGTACACGGTGTGGAACGAGTTCATCGAGTGGGCGAGCTCGTTGTTGGCCACAAGGTGGGCGAGCGGCGACGCGACGTGCTTGCCGCCGCCGGACGCGCGGTCCCACGAGCCGATCATGGTCTGGGCCACCATGAGCGCAAACGAGTCCGGGTGCGTCCAGCCGACGCCCTCGAGCGCAAGCGCAAAGTGCGCCAGCGGCACGTTGGCATCGAGCTGCTGCACCGAGGTCCCGGTAAACTCGGACGCGACGTGCGCCGGCGCGGCGGCCTTGCCGGCCGGCGCCGTCGGCAGCGAGCCAAACGACTTGTCCACAAGCTCGCACAGCGCGTCGTGGTCCACCGCGCCCGACGCGGCAACAACCATGTTCGGCGCCGTGTAGTGCGTCGCAATGTAGTCCTCAAGATGCGCCTTGGTAATCGACTTGATGTTCTCCTCCGGGCCCAGAATCGTCCGCGCAAGCGGCGTTCCGTTGTACGCGCCGGCGTGGAGGAGGTCAAACACAACCTCGGTCGTGTCCTTGGCCACCTCCTCAGCCTCACGAAGAATGACCCCGCGCTCACGCTCGATCGCGTCCTCGTCAAGCCGCGAGTCCTGGAGGATGTTGGAGAGGATGTCGACAGCCTTGGGAATGTCGTCCTTGAGCACCTGGGCGTAGTACACAGTCTGCTCGCGCGACGTGTACGCGTTCAGATGCCCGCCCATGTTCTCCACCTCGCGCTCGAGCTGCGTCTGGCTCCGCGACGACGTCCCTTGAACGCCATGTGCTCCAGAAAGTGCGCAGTCCCGTTGTTCTCGTCCGTCTCAAACCTCGAGCCGGCGTTGATCCACACCCCGACCGTCGCCGTGTCGCTGCCGGACGCCTCCGTGGCCACACGAAGCCCGGACGAGAGCGTCGTCTCCTTGGTCGGCGCAACCTCAAGCACCTCAGCCGCGGCAGGTGCGGCGGTCGCCAGCAGCCGCCGCCCAAACTGTAATGCACGCGGGGTGAGTGGCGGGGAGGGCGGGGAAGGGGGCCACGGTGCCACTGATCACAGCCAACGCTTCAGCCGCCGCTTGCGCACCCTCTACCACACGGTGTGGAAAAGGTAACAATGTGCAACTCGGTACAGACATGCACGCTAGGTAGAAGCGTATCTGTGCAGAGTTACAGACTGACCCCTCTCTTTATGCGCTTGCTAGGCCTGATACTGCCCCGCCGGAAGCGGAGCAAAAAATGCCGCCGAGGCTGCGCACACAGTGGACGGCCACAGCCAAGGCGTAGGGGGCGGAGGGCGGGGGGGGGGGGGGTACGGAGAGAGAGGAAACAACATGGGAGGAAAGGATGGCGTACAGTCGGGAAGGAGGCCACCGACGGGGGGGCAAACGAGCGTGCAAACGAGGCCATTGCGGTCTGTGTCGGTCTGACGACGGGTGTTAGCTTGGACCCTGCTCAGCCCGGCCCGCCCGAGCGACCAAAGCCCCCCCCCCCCCCCCCCCTTCCCTTATTTGATCGACCGGCCGGGAACGAAAATTCCCGTTATTTTCACCAACCCGGACCCCGCTTCCTTCTACCTGGCCCATTCTTGTGTGGCTTTTTAGTTGAGGGGGAGTTTTGGCCCTCCCCCCCTCCCCCATTTGGAAATCAAGCCGGGTTTGGAAAAGGGAGGGCTTTTTACCCTTTTAGGGCGGGGGGGCCCTGGGGGGGGAAGAAAGAACCCCCAGCGTTCCCTCCCAAAATTGGGCCTTGGGGGGGCGGCGGGTTGCACCACAGAAACAGAGCCGGTCCCGCCCCCCCACCCCCGGCCTCTGGGGCGCTGGAAGCCCCCAGCACGGGGGTTATTTGTGTGTGGGTGTTTTTAAAAAGAGGCCAAAAAAGGGGAAATAATCTTGTGTTTGTGGCAATTCCTGCCCCAAAAAAATTTTTGCTAATTGTACACCCGAGAAAAAAAACCAA